TAAGAAATGTCATTTGCATAGTATTTTTTATACAAACTTGCTATATGTACAGCATACCTTACAATCCTCTCACATTGATCGCGGGACCCACATTATGTGAGAGAGCTGTACATTGTGCAGCATTTAAAAGCTGTACAAACAGCTTTATTGTTTTTTATAATATTATTATGCTAAGAACTTGTTATTACATCATGAACCTGCATTAGATTGCACGTCCGAAGAGCTTTTGGTGGTAGCCCTTCAACGCTAAAGTCGGAAACATATTGTAGAAAGGAAAAAATGAAACACTTTTTTCTGTCTTCTTAGATTGCTACGGTGGTAGAGAAATCTCTATTTTTTGGTGAATTTTTGAATTTGACTCCGAGTATATTATATAGGGACATTTACGTCATGAATTAAATTTTTTCGAGAATCTCCATTTTCAAGTGAATTTTCAAATTTGATTCCGAGTATATTATAAAGGGACATTTTCGTCATGAACTCTCCTACTATCCAAACTACCCATTTAGGGAGTGTTGGCACCACGTGTTTTATACATATACAATGTGTATGTTTATGCAATGATGCAATTGTCATTCAGAATGAGCACATGGTGTCATTATAGTACCTATACATCCCATAATTATTTGTACTGTAATTCTTCAATGAAATCAAGATCCTGAATTCTCAAATTGTTACCCCCAAATTCTCAGTCATGGAAACCCTCCATCTCCCCACCAGCTTAATTATATCAAGAAACCTATCGCTCAACAGAACCAGAAGAATCAAGCTCAAAGTCAACCAAAATTTCGGTAATAGACACACATCCCTAAGCTCCCTCGTTTCCACCCCTCATTTTCCCGTCATCAAATGCTCCACCCACCACCATGAACACCATGACCACGATCACCACCACCATCACCACCACCACCACCACCACAACCATAACCACCATCATGGTCCTAGTAATGACGGTTCTGTCCGGCTCACCAAATTTCAGGAAATTTTTTTAAGTTTTGCCAAGACGGTCAAATGGACCCACCTGGCTAATTTCTTGAGGGAACATTTGGAGCTCTGTTGCTGCTCAGCTGCTCTATTTTTAGCCGTTGCAGCTTGCCCTTACTTGATCCCCAAGCCAGCAGTCAAGCCGCTTCAACAAGCCTTCACTTTGATTGCCTTCCCTCTTGTGGGGGTAATTATTACTTTAATTAGCTAAATTTTCTGCTCGTTTAGCGAAAACGCATTTTTTATTTTCCCTTTCTTCTTACCCCAACTTCTTAATTTAAGCGTATATTTTGAAAATATAGGTCTCGGCCTTGTTTGATGCTGTAATGG